ACACGAAAATACACGCATGTATTCCCACACATTATTTTAAATAAAGTATTTAAAATAACTTTTTTTCTTCGAAAAGCTGAAATAAATACTATAAATGATTACTACAATTTCCCTCATCTAAAATAATTAAATATCTAATGGAATTCATAAAATAACTGATTTATTATTTTCGTTAAGACGTGTGACACAAAAGATGAACCGAAAAACGAAAAGTACTAACTAGTGGCGAACAATATCAATACAGAGATAACGAAACGCAATCAATGATTGTTAGTCATTTCAGCGAAGTATATTGTGATGGTATTGATGTATATATAAATAGAGAGAGAGAGGATGGACGGGAAAAGAAGTTAGACGATTCAATTATAAAAGACGAGTATGGATGGAAGAGTTGGAAGTGTTCGACCTGAGGAAACGTAGCTCAAGAAGAATGATGAATTATTAGTTATTATAAAAAGATGTATAGTTAGGAAAGTTACCAAGTTATTCCAATTAGAGTTCATTGATTAAGTAACAAGACTCCCTTACCAGTACATTTATCTTTTAATATAAATAATTTAATAACATTTATGTTTTAATATAAATTTTAATATTTGCAATGCTGATATTTGGCTCTTTAGACAAATGAGTTTGTAAATCATTTACCTTGGTCATTATGTGTCTATTTATTAATTGTTTATTACACATTGTTTCCTACTCCGTCCAAAAAGTATCCTTTTGTTTTATCCGCATTTCTTTACGGAACAACTAAACGTTCGAAAATCTCTAGCCTTGTAAATGTTCATCTTGTCCTCTAAGGTGATCCAGTAAGAAATAATTTATCTACAAAACTAGAAAGTTATGAATTCCGATTACTGCTTTAATTTTCCGTTCTGAATTTTGGGCTTCCCTTTCTTATTCACCAACTGCTTAATAAACTTGGGCTTTTGAAAGTTAATGGTGCTGTGAATGGTTTTCTGGTCCCTCTTTCAGAAGTGTGGGGGCATTCATAATTTTCTCATTCTGCAGTTGAACTCCGTTCGGTCCTTGAAAGAGAAGCGTGGATGGCCAATCCATTGTCTGTTTATCTTCTTTTCTATTCTTGAGTAAGTGTAATAAAAGGGCATGATTTAGAGATCTTGAAATAAACTCTCAATTTTGAATATTGAATCACTTTCGATGAAACTGGCTAGATCTTTTGAATATAAGACGGTTTCATTTAACAGTAATGTATATTGGTAAAGATAATTTAGAAATAAAAAAAAAAAGTAGAAAATAACTGAACTATTACAACGACCATAAGGATTCAGTACTAGATTTCAATATGTAATTCAAATATGATCACTTAGCAACCCGAGGGCGAATGAGTACCTCAAAGTTACTATCTCGGAGGTACTGCCCATCGCACCGACTGCTGGCAGTTGACTACTGCTTTAGTGGAATAAGAGCCAATAGACAAGATGTCGCATCTATACTGCTCCTTTCTGATCGCCCCTGAAGCAGTGAAGCTGTTGACAGTACGACGGTTATAGGTTATGTTATCACATTGGAAATTTGTTTTGATGATAATAGTCACCTAGATACGTTTCATTTCCATTTTTGTCAAATTAAGCAAAATTAATTTAATTTTTTTTAACGCTTTTTGACTTGTTTGACTTCCAACATTAGTCTTCTCGTAGCGGCAGTTCTTATATAGATGATAACCAGATAGCACGTGGTTTATACCGATCACAATGATCTCGCGAACGCGCTTTAAACTCGTACCATAAAATTTTTGCAGACGCCTTAACTTGCTCGACACACAGCGGTTCCTCTAACTCAACTTGAATGTTTCGTCAAAACTTCAATCAAATAATTTATAAATAAAACAAATACGCCAAAACTACCACCCCAACAACATAATTCGCATAGAACGGAAATACAGCTCTGCAATAATCTCAATGAATGATGAATGTTCATAAATAGATCATTATATAACAAGCGCAAACAGAGCTTTTCACTCTTTTTCAAAGGTAGTGAAATCCCAAATTGAGGCTATACAATGCTATGATAATACCAGTTCTATTATACGTCTGCTAGAACAGAATACTGACCAGTATCCAAGAAAGAACCATTGAAAGATTTATGAGATATTAATTCCTACATACAATAACCGGAGCGTTCTGGTATAAGAGTACTAACAAACGGAGGAGAATGAACAATGAAGAAGTGCTCACAAAAAATGGCCAATCTATATTCTAGGATAAGGAGATAAGGAAGTTGAGATGGGTGGGTCATGCAGCTCGGAATCATCAGGAAGCCTCTACACAACAATGAATGCCTCAAAAATAGGAAAGGGACCACATGGAATGCCTACAAGCAGATGAAGTCGACTCAACAAAGATGCTATAGAACTAGATGCAAATAACTGGAAATATTCAAAGATAAAGAAGGCGGCCAAATATCTAAGTTCTCTAAAGCCGACAGAAAAAAAAACTTTAGTTCTGACGTTTTATTAACTTTATTTTGAGTTATTTCATTGAATTTTATTCTAAATAAATTAATTTATCACTTTGGCCACTCTTACAAGAATTTCCTTAGGAATATATTCACGCCGATAGTCATCTGAAATGCCTTCGGAAACTGTGGTCTTGTGCTACAGGGTACTTAATATATATATTTACATACATATACTTACACATACATACTTATACATACACGTACATCCATAGCTAAAAATAGTAATCTGTTTAGTGGCATTTATATTTATCTTTTTTTTTTTTCTTTTCTTTTTTTTCTTTTTTCGGTTGTCTCTACAGACCTTGTAGATCTTTGTCCGCCAGAACCAGCCTTCTTCACCTCTGCCTATCTTGGGCTACTGCTTTCCAGTTTGCGGCATGAAGCTATTTATCTATCAGAATTATAATTAGTGTATATTGTCATACAGTTTCTAGTAAGTACTTGCATATTGTCTGACAGTCGGTATGTATAAGTAAATGTGTAAGGATATGTTAGAAAGATACCGAGCTGATTGTTTAAGGAGACTGAATATTTTTTATAGGAATTTTCGGAGTCCCTATATATGTTTCTTTTTCGCTGAATCGCTGAAATTTGAGATGTTTAATACCAAAATGGTTGAGCTAAACAAATAGTAAGTTTTTGTGTTAATTTTTTTCCCATTATTGTCTGAGTTATACATGTAGAGTAGTGGATTAATTTAAAAAATAACTTTTTTTTTTTGTAAACAACCTTTTTCTTTTTTTTAATCTTCTTTTTTATTTATAGGATCATGAAATTGGAGAAATATAGAAAGAAGAGTTACGTGGTTGATTGTATCTGGACAATTGTATCTGGCCTCCTGCGGATTATATTACATTCTGAAAATAACGAATTATTATTTTATTTCTTCTTGAATTACGTTATGAATTTCAAATAAGCAGCCAAGAAAAACAATAATATGATTTCATTACTATTTTAATTAAAATTAATCATTTCCTTGTAAAGCGTTGACCAATACATAGTTCTTCTTTACAAAGTATTGTATCCATGAAATTTCATGGAATGTAATAGTACCTGTTACGTCTCGATTAATGGATAATCAGTAAAACACAGCTTACTTAGATATACATTTATTTATAGAGAGGAACAACAGGAACTATTACACTTTAGCATCGTGACTATAATAACAGAACAAACTAGGAAGGTTGTTTCAATATAAAGCAGAAGATTTTTTTTGAAGAGTAAGTGTTACATGTTTGGATTTGTCTTAATTTAGTCAAATTTTCCAGAATTTGAATCAGTCTTATAATTTAAGTAAGTGAAGTAAAGTCGAATATGAAAAAAAAAAATGAATTCTAAAATAACTTATGTGTATGAGATATTGAAGAAGGAATAAATAATGAAAAATTCGATCAAATAAAAATAAAAATAAAAATAAACAGGCAATGGAGGAGGGATTAATTTTTAAATATATAAAAATTAAATAATACTAGGACCGATGAACGATGAGTTAATCCTTTAGATTTCAGACGGTTGTACCCGGTACAGAATTGTACCCGGTTAATATAATTGAGGTGATTATATCGTGGCGAATTAAATGGGCTTGTAAAATTGTTGGAATTAACGAAAGAATTCCTAAATAGCCCTGGAGCCAGGGCCCAAAAATTGACCTGATCGCAGGCCAAGGTTTGATTGTTAATTACAATAGGGTATGTTATTATGAGTAAAAAGAAGCTTATCTGCCGTTCCAGAGCCGTTGCTTTAAAAAATGGCGGCTGATTTAATATAAGTCCAATAAATTGAGGATAGAAACGGGAAATCCATTGAGAAAAATGTGGGAAAAGTTTTTATTTTTTTAACTTGTATATATGGATTCAGATATGTAAAAAACCAAATTGCTGACGCAGGCCACCAAGGGACAAATTTTTAAACCCAAAGAAGTCAGAATTTTTTTATTTTTTCACCTTTAACTCCTAAATGATGCATCAATAAGAAAAATGTACTCTTCAATAAATTAAAGAACGTCAAATTGTGCTTCGAACGAGTACATAAACTTTATAATTTGGTTAAGCGGTAAGGTATAAAACCAAGGTATCGATCCTCAAATTACTGGTCTAATATTCTTTAAATCAGCCGCCATTTTTGAAAGCAGCGGCTCTGGAACGGCAGACAGGGTTCTTTTCACTCACAATAACATACACTATTGTAATTTACAATCAAACCTTGGCCTGCGATCAGGTCGATTTTTGGGCCTTGCCTCCATGACTAAAAAGGTAAATATTTCCTGTGCCGACTGGTAAACGTCCGAGGGGTAGACCGAAGCGAAGGTGGGAAGATTGCGTTAAAGCGAATCTCAATGGACTGCTTTGGACGGTGACCGGTGGTGGGAGGTGTGCACACAGCGAATGGTGGTCGTCGTCATCGAACCTTTGGGTTCGCTAAGCCGTATATTATTATTACTATTATTATAAAAGTTAAATATAACTATTTTATTTGAAATTATTCAATAAAACTAAATAGATAGGAGATAGAGGTGTACTTACATGACGCAAGGTCCTGCAGCTGCTGGAACTCTGCAGGGGACAATTTGTCCCAGTGAACGGCCGCCATTCTTCAAACGTCACAGATCCATCCGTTACTGGAATAGAAGAGCAAAATGTAACACATTGTATTTATTGAAGTAGAGGAAAATTGAATAGAATAAAATTTATACAGCCAATAAATTTAATATTTATATGGTTCAACAAATTCAAAACTCAATAAATAAAAATGAATATTAAAAAAAAAATATATATTTATACAATAGTATAGCAATTTGCATTAAATTTGAGTTCAATTAATGACAAAATTAAAATTGAAAAACTCTTCATAGTAGAAAATAATGTCAATTCTGTCGCAGTAGTTTCTTATTTATAAACTACATATATAAGTAGTAATAAGTATACATAGAAGAAGTAATACATATATATATAAGTAGTAATAAGTTTATCTTATTACTACTGCGACTTTAAGAATATTAAAATCGTGTTAGTAATAAGATAAAATATGCATTTAAAAAATAAAACGCAAATAAATAGCTTCTTATTTATCTATTTAGTTGTATTTTGGTACCAAGTGCAACTACATCGGTTAGAGACACGTTATTCAGTTTCATATATATTTCATTACATATTAAAAATATATCTGTATGAGAATGTGTTGTATCAGATGAAATTGCGATGTTGAGATATATTTATAAATAATCTGTTGTTACAAATGCATAGGTTAGCTCTGATGTGCATGGTAGGTGTGTATATAAGGGTTGTGTTGTATAAATATTTGTATAGGAATAAAAAAAAACATTTTAAATAAGTTTATATTATAGTTAAATCAGTACCATTAAAAATCAAAAAAGTACATTATTGTATGTATAGTCTAAAAAGATGTAGATACTTTTCGATGTAGATGTTAATTGTAATGAACCCCTTTTTCGAGAAAACATCGAGAAAGAAATTTTAAAAAATCATTAGCCTTATGTTTTGCTTCATTTTCTAATCTCAATACGAAACATGTTTCGTATCATTTCGTATATTTCTTCAAGTTTTAGAAATTAAACAACTTATGTAGGTATTATAGTAATACTATAATACCTATATAGTTCCGGGGAGTTAATGTGGAACAATCTTCATATTAGGTTTATAAAAATAAAATTTACTTTTAGTGAGTATGCCGATGACACATGTATTCTTTCAGTTAATAACGATCCATCAATAGCATTCCAAACTCTTCAATCACATATCACAAACTTTGAAGAATGGTGTCAATAGTGGAGGATTAAAATAAATTCCAATAAATCCCATCAAATCACCTTAACCCTTCGTCGTAAACCTATGACTTCCTGTCCTGCAGTATCCTTTAATAACACCCCACTTCTCGCTGTTGAACAAATCCGATACCTAGGACCTGGACATACGTCTGTCTCACTTGCAATCCTCATAAGAGACTGAAACGACAAGAAACAGCTCGACGTTTCCGCTTACTCCAACACTTACTAGACAAACCTCTAAGCTTCCAGCCAATTACAAAAGACTCATATACATGACTATAATACGACCTATTTGGACTTACGGAGTTGAGCTTTGGGGCTCCACTAAGCCATCGAATTCCTCTCGTATCCAATCCTTACAATCCAAAATCCTTCGTAAAATCCTCAATGCTCCTTACTTTGTCACAAATAAAATAATCCATAAAGACCTTAATGTTCCATATGTTTCCGATTTGGCCCAATCCAGATACCTATCCTCCCATAATAAACTTCATAACCATCGAAATCCTCTTGTTTCAAGCCTTGCTTCCACCTCGATTCCTGAAAACCCTCCGAGGCGTCGGAAAAGACTTATGTAGACATATTATTAGAGTGCTACCAGTGGGTAGTTCTCAACAAGCGTTTTCATGTGATTATATTTCTGTGTACACATTTACTTGACGTATTTATATTAATACAGTTGTAAATATAATAAATAATAAAAAACTTTTAGTCAAAAGGTTTTACCCCATGACTCCCCAATATAATGTCAACTTTCTCGAGTGAGTACATACGTAATATTAAATTTACTATAGCATTTCACACACTTGTTTGCCAACATAATCTTCCAGAAAAAAATAGCTATAAGCTAAATAAAATAATTTATATATATATATATATATATATATATATATATAGAATTTTTATAAAATTAATTTTAAAAATACGCACACCTTTCGCTTTCTGTGATATTATACATGTATCCAGTTCGTAAACTTGATGGAATGAAATTAGAATTTTTAAATATGTCTCTGCTATTATCCATCATTGCCTATCTACCTACTGATATGATTACCTAATGTTTTTCTTTGGCTGTTAAAAGTAAATATTGTATTTATTCAAAAGTTAGCAATATTTTGAAACGTGATAAACAGTTCTGTTTTAATTTTGAATTACTTAAAACAAATATTCTATGAACAAATTATTCGTTGACATTATTGCACTAACTTATCAATTATTACACTAACTTATTTATTAATTATTTACAGGTATTTTATGTTAAATAATAAATGTTTCGTGCAAAATTATCATTTCATACAATATAATTATTTCACGTAAAATAAATAATGTAAAGTTATTCGCCGTAGATACCAATAGATTGTTTCAATTCCATGTCTCAATGCATGTATTGTAAACAGTACATTGTTAAAATATTGTATAGTTTATTACCTACTTCATAATACAAAATATTATTTTATTTTTTATTAAACTTCCTATTAAATTCCATTAAACTCTTGGTATGTTTATAACCGATGATTCAACTGTCTAAAAATTCACTAGAAGTACCTAATTCTGCCCACCACTAGTGTTGCCCAAAATCGGTCTTGGTCTTTTACTTTGCAAAGCAACATTACAATCTTAGTTACTATATGTTAATAATTGGTATAACCAATATACTTTTGCACTTAACTCCTCTAATTTTTCATTCGGGTATAGTTAGGTTTCTCCTATCTAAAAAATTACAGTAATATCTCTATAGTAATAAGTTAATAAGTGACGATAAGACTGTTGCGAGACTCTTGCGCAAGACCAAGACCATGACCAAGACTGAGTTTGCAAGATCAACACTTGTCTCGGTCTCGCATTTGGGCAACCACTACCCAGGGCAGCACACCTGCTCTAAATATAAAAAAGATATTTTTCATTTCTTCAAATATAATTTCACATCAGGACGTTATTAATGTGAAAATTAAGTTGAAAATTGCTGGGTATAACAGAGAAAAATATATTGTTCAGTAGTGCAGTCAAACTCAATTCCAACATCTCGCTCTAGTGTCCGCTGGTTCGAATCTGGCCTAGGCGGGTTGATATTTATTTCATGATGGACAATTTTTTTTTCAATAAAATCTGCAAAGTTCATACTCCCCTGATTTTAAAAATACCAATTTATCAACAAAGATATTTTCATTAAATCGTATAAGGAAGTTGAATGTTACCATTTACTAATAATTTTTTTGTTTACAATTGGTAGGTTTCCATTTGTATACCACTCTATCGAAATAGCAGAGAATGCTTTCTTTTTGGCAAATGAAAGGGAAAGCTGATTTGTTTACATTGGTCTGTCCTAAAAGCTGGAGGAAATTCGTGATTGGGAAAGGGTGGGGAGGGGGCGAAGAAGAAGTGAGGAGTGTAAGCTGAGAGCTGTTTGCGGTGGTAAAGGGAACCGGAGCTGTCCCCCGGTTCGGGAGTGTTTTCCGGTAAAACAGAATGATGGATCAGGGCTCCTGTTTGAGCGACTTATAGTCCGCGTGCTTGGCAGCTGAGGGCGGCACCGCTGCTCAAATATGATAATTTGTCCGATTAAGCACATGTTCAAAACATTATTGACGTTTGATAAAACTAGTAATCGTCGAGAGCTAAAAAAATTCTAACAATCAGTAAAAATTCGACCATAATCATGACGAAACTTGAGGAAAACATAAATGAATTTGCTATTGAAGGACGTTAGTCGACTGTACTACATATTACAGGGGATAAATAATCAGGAAGAAATAATTTTTCAGATTTTTTCATTGTTGCCGATGTTTCAACTCAAATATTTGGGTCATGTTCAGGACATGTTTCCGTCGAAACGTCGGCAACAATAAAAAAGATCTGAAAAATGACTGCTTTATGATTATCAATCTCCTGTAAATGAATTTGCATGTTTCCAATATTTTTTTCTACTCTTATACATTCGTTCATAGTATATCTTCGAACATACACTTTTATATTTACTTACAATACAAAATAGTCCAGTACCATATTAGTACTTTTTGAGTTATTCACAAACAAAATTCAATTTTAGCTTTTTTTGTGGCACCCTTTCTGGGCTTCGAGTGGAAGATTTCAGCCAAGCTTCATTAAAACCGATACAGCCGTTTTCGAGCAACAGTCTATAGCGACACACATTTTTCGGTCACCATTTCCAAACCACATACCAGATGTTAATGAAATGTATTAAGCTGTTTAGCTAAGGAAAGCTAATTTAAATTTACTAAGAACTCAAATTCAGAAAGACATATATAATCAATATGTAATTAATGTTCAGAATTCTAAAACTTTCACTTTTTATCCTCATTTAACTTCAGTAAATTATATTGATGACAAAAGCTCGTTGAAGGTGATCAGATGGGTAATTAAAATTAGAGCTGATATTTTGAACTTAAATTATAAACACGTTTCCGATTTGGCCCAATCCAGATACCCATCCTTCCATAACAAACTGCAGAACCATCCGAATCCTCTCATTTCAAACCTTGCTTCCTCCTCGATCCCTGATAACCGCCCGAGGCGTCTGAAAAGAAGATGGCCTCGGGACCTTCTAATATAGAACTTTAATTTGAGTTCTACCAATGGGTAGTTTATTTTCATGTTGTAAATGTCATGTTACCAATGTCACATTTACTTGTATTTTTTATGTGATAAAGTTTTAAATTTCATAAAAAAAAAAAATTATAAAAGCTTCAAGCAAAAAAATAATAATTGTTGCGTGTGTAATACAAACGAAACAGAAGATCTCTATCACTTCCTGAATGCTTGTCCGATACTCTCTGTATTTAGAATTAAATGGAAACAATTGGATAGCATTGGTA